TCACTTATTCGGAAAAATTTACTGAGCTAGCCTTAGATTGTTGGAACTTGATGATTGGCCTCATTGGTCTTAATACCTTCGTCACAAATATTTTTGTTTGCTGAATGCTTTTGATTGCTTGGAGATTGAACATGTAAGATTGCTCTATGTTATCACAGATGGTGATCATCTCTTCATCGCTTGTAAATTTTACTGTTATGTGGTTTGTCAAAGTAACATCCTCGAAGTTATTGAGCATAGAGAAACCATAGATGGCGTTATAAGTTGGTGATAAATCGACCACCAAAGAATCCTTCATATTTGTGAACTTCTCCTTATTTTCACTCAGGTAAATGACAAGGTGATGGTTCCCATAGCTTCCTTTCTCTCACTAAAGAAGCAATAGGTTTTCCTATTACAGTAATCAATTAATATTTTTTTGAAACCCATTTTACTGAACAATGCTTTAAATAGAATATTCACTAAACTATCAGTGTCAATAAGAATGTTACCTATCTGGTAGTTGTTGAGAAACATTATGGCAAAGGATTCCCACTATGGACAAATTTGTGCCAATAAATGCTATTCGGGGATTTGTACTATGTTTAGGTGCCATAGCAGCTGTGCATAGCTTGCCGACCGAAGCCACTTTTGATTGGCTTGGTGGGATGAATTTCACCTCCGCTGAAGATGGCTAGAGCTATGCTAGCAATATGGATGAAGTTGGCTCGGACAACTTCTTTTGAAATTTCTTCCACTGAAGCGTTATATTATCTCTAGATCATTTTTTCTGAAGCTACAAACTCCATGTTCTTTCTAGTTCTAATCAACTCCTCGATAAAGCTTAAGAGGTGTCGACTTTTCTCTGTATCATGATCATGGTGTCGGTGGTATGTGTAGTACTTCCTTGAATCTCAAAGGTAAGCTTTGTCCTTCTTTGGATGATTTTTCTTGAAGTACTCTATATTTTGGATGGCTTCCAGGACATTGAAAAATTACAACAGAGTTATTTTTAGTATTTTGTGGTTGCGGGCTTGTTGTAGCAAGTCAATCATTGATCATGATATTGAGCCTGGCCTCATTAGTTGTAAGATCTTTCTATCTCGTTGTGGTCTCAAGGTGGTTGATGGTCTTCATATAATGGGTGGTGAAAGGTTAGTCATCCATTGAACTTCACCTGTCACCTTAGGAAGCCCTCTTCTATGAATGGCGGGTGGAAGATTCTCCTCTAGTATAAGATGTGGAATTTTATTCCTTGATTGAGAAATGTTTGTTGGCCACTTATAACAACTTAACGAATGTCTTCAGTTGTAGAAGGCCCAAATTGTATTAGAAAGGTCTTTCCATTAGCCCTAGATCCAATGCTGCATGAGCCACTGCAGGCTCCAAATCACATACTTTCAACATCTCCTTTTTAATGTGAGTTCCCTGTCTTGATCTTTATGAGGGTCTGTTAACTCTTATGTTTTTTCTAGATGATGAAAAACTATGCCATGATCATCCCCTTGAAATCCATAAATGAGGCAATTACCCATGACGGTAAACTGTTGAAGCACCCGAGGGCTGAGTCCCTCAACTTGGTGAAGAGAATATGACACTTCATAGTGCAAGTGATCCTCTGTAAGCATACGGTCGATTTAAATGACACCATGTGATTGGTTGGATTAGTCTGATCATTGTAGGATTTTAGTGAAGGGATTTTAAACCACTCTGGGGGCTTTACCTAAAAGGTTTGCTAAGAGAATGGATTCTTTTGATAACATGACACTTCAATACACCAAACCAATGCTTGTAAATCAGTGTCATCCCATCAATATTGAAGTACTTGGAATCTTTATCTCTATCCAGGTCTAAGGGTGTCTTTCAGTATTAGCCATTTCTTTTTTGGATGTTGCTTCCTTCCCCAAGCCAATACCTCGCAAATGGCATCAAACATATGATCCTTCAACTCATATATCAATTAAATTAGAAGCTCTCCAATGCACTCCAAGATATCAGTGCCTGTTATGGGTTTCTTCTCCACTTGCTGCTTCTTTTCTTGTACGTGGCATGATCCACACTCATTGTACTATTTAGGATGTTAAATTTGGATTTGTCTATAAATCAAATCTCAATGGTTATAATGTATGAAAGGAGAGAGAGAAATGAATAGTAAAACATATTGTTTATTATTCCTTTCTAATAAAATGAACTTTTTATTTTTAGAAGAGGGGATACAAGATGTGATGTTACATTTGTACCTCTATTTTAATGGGAGACGTTGCAAGATATTCAAGGTAATTCACATGTGAAACCCATTTGCTCAAATACTCAATGACTCGATTGGCTGGTTTAGCATGGCCTTGACTAGGTAAGACAAATTTGGTCGATTAAATCTAGTCAATGTTCTCAATCAACTGATCTTTATTATATTTTGGTTGGCAAGACTAGCTTCGTCGGCTACACTTTGCAAATTGATTTATCTAGTATGATTGTAAACCCTCAATCCTTGGATGTGGAGCTCCTGTAGACAAAATGAGAATAGGCTATTGAGGAGAGGATGAACAATTATAACTCGATAGAAAGCTCATTCCTTGGTGAGGAATTCCTTCAAGTTGTCTAAGAGATTCTATTGCATTTTCACTTCTTTATGCTTTATAAGGAACCTCGGGGGTATCCATGGGATGATTTGTGCTACTGATGAATTAGATTCTTTCCTCTAGTCAGATCTACCAGGAAGTAGGTAGTTTCCTTCATTCGACTTTCTAGTGATGGTTAGCAATTGATTTGTCTTTTCAAGCCGATCAACCCGAACTTGGATCATTCTTTTTATCCACCAAGAGGTAGGTAGTTGCCTTCATTCGACTTTCTAGTGATGGTTAGCTATTGATTTGTCTTTTCAAGTCCGATCAACCCGAACATGGATCATTCTTTTTATCCTTCTTATAGCTCAATTAGCCATCGTCCTTGGTTCAATTTGTTGTATTTAATTGGATAAGTGAGGTTTTTGGTCTCTTGTCAATAGACCCTTCTTTGTCATGCCTTTTTCTTCTAGACCGTTGGATTTTCTCGGGATTCGTGTTGGAATATTCTTGATGAACATATACATTTATGCATGCCTTGATCAAACCATTGGGAATTTGATAGAAATGAAAAATTGAGGGTTGAGCTTCACCTTGAATTTTGACAATTGAGCAATAATCTGAAAAATTGACGGAAGAGGATGTGTTTTGTAAAATATTTTAAGTGGTATTCATATAATTTCCCCTTAAATATTTTATTTCATGTTTACACAATAATTAAGGGTATTTGATGTATTTAATTATATGAATCATTCATTTATCTCCTTACATAATGGACATATTCCAAGACTTCGTATTATTAAGAAGTTTTAGGTCTTATTTTCTTATGTTAATGTTGGTATTTGGAGAACATGTTTCTTGACTCCTTTCAAATAGGTGTTAATTAATGATGAAAGAATTAAAATTAAAGTTTGCTAATTTGTTGTAGCCTCTATCCTTGTTAATTTCCTGAAAGATGTAGACTTTAATTCTTATATAAAAGTTGCCGTGTATTGCATTTTTTTTCCTTTTGATATATGTAGTTGTTCGCTATTTGATTTGGTCTTTCATATCTTCTTGCATCAAAATGTAGTAAATTGTGAAAAATTTTCAGCTTCTTTGCTAAATTTTAGTAATATTTTTTTTGACGTTTGATAGGATTTTTTAGGGCTGTTGACCACCTATAGTTTCTTCTTTTAGATTTATCTACCATTTCTCACAATTTGATGATAACCATTTTGTCTATTTATCCAAATTGGGAGATTTTTTGTTCATTTTTATATATTGAACTCCACTAACTTTATAAGAGAGAAATAGATTTAATAATCTTCCAACTAGAAATCATTAGGATCAAGTGTAGAATGATAAATAAAAAATCAACCCGAAATTATAATAAGGGTGAAAACCAGTTTAAAATTTCACTTACAATAAAACATATATTCATTATTTTGAAAAGGAAATTACAACCCTTAATTTTTAAATTAAAGGAAAAAATTAAAACCCTTTTATTGCCCTATCAATGTAAAACACTAATCTAAATGATTATTTGATTTTGTCATGTTACCTTAATCGCTATGTATGAATTGTTCTCGATTTATAATTATTTTTGAAATTAATTATAAATTTAATATACGTCCATATTTTAGTTTGGGGGCATTTACATACCACACAATTTTTATGTATTTCCTTAACACCTAAGCATTCATATTTACGTGCAAACCACTAAAATTTTTAGCATCACATCAAAAACACTATAATTATTCTCTTTTAAAAGTGAAATACAACATTTCATATCTAAGTTTATGACACCAAAAAGTTATGTCAAACCTAATGTGGTAGACACATAAATACATAAGAATTATGTGGTATGCATGTAAAGTTCCCTTTCTGCTTAATAATATACAAATAAATCAAACTATCTGTTAAAAATTTTCTATTTTAACTCCAAGTAATTTTGTACTTATCCATTTGTAATTATGTTTGTACCATTTTATTGAAAACAGACTGATTCACTTATATTTTTATATCATTTTTTTCAAAATTTTTTAAAATATAAAATATCGTGTGTACATATAATTTTATCAATTAAACATTTTGACATGATACTAGTTAAAATATTATAAATTGAATAAAATTTATAAACATTCTATGTATATTTAAATTCTAACTTAGCTGGAAAATTTCATGCATATTTTAAAAATAATTTGGGCATATGCATTTTCACTGGCAATTCCTATAAAGTTATTTTTTATGACGATCATAAAAATCCATCAAGACGCGTCCTCATCCGCTCAAAATCGGGCAAAAACTATAGTCAAAGATCACCCATAACCCGTAATTTAATTAGCAAAATAAAGAGAAAAATATCTATATTATGTGCTCTAGCAGATAGCACAATAATGCAAACAAAATGAAGAATTCTTCTGAGTATAGAAAAAAAAAACAATGAGCAAAAACCTATATTCTTAACCAAAGTGATGAGCCTTTCCAGCTTTATTAATGTAACGGATAGATACATTGCTTCACCAAACAACATGATAATAAAAATGAGGTCACTACCGCAGAATGAAATGGGGATAATTTCTGAAGTATTGATCAATAAGAAAATAGAAAATTACATATTAGTTGCATTTGCGCTGATTTTGCTCAAAGCAACAGCAGTTTTGGAGCCAGACTCGCGGCCCAGATGGTTACAGATGAAGTCTCCAGCAGCCATGAGCTTGCTGAGATCAACATCAGTTTCTATCCCGAGACCGTCGAGCATGTAGACAACATCCTCTGTGGCAACATTTCCTGAAGCTCCCTTCGCATATGGGCATCCTCCCAAGCCGGCAACCGATGCGTCTACGATGGAGATCCCCATCTGTCAAAATGGCATGGTAAGAACCAGTCTTAAGATATCAGAGTTGAATAAGAGGCCATTGAAGATTATTTTTATTTTTAATTTATTAATTATTTATATTATTTTATTTTTATGGGGCGTTGACGTACACATCATCCAATTTCTAATATTTACATATCTAACAGAGTTACTTCTACATTTATACTGCCCAAAGCTTGTATATCACATTAAAAATACCACAAATTCAACTTTTAAAAGTGAAATCTATCTTTTAGTGCATAGGTAAGGTCGTATGAATGAAATTTGAAGTTCAGATGTTAGAATGTAAATAAATAGGAATGGAGAGGTTTGTATGTGCATCTTCACTAGTTATTTTCTTCTTCTTTTTTTTTAATATAAAATATGATTGGCATGTTTCAATAAAAGATGGTTTTTTTTATTAAACTCAAAATACGTAAAAATTATCGAGTTCCTTTTAAAATTTGTTGATTTATTTAAAAAATAAAAAATAAAAACATATAAAATATACACAAAAACAAATGTGTTTCAAAAAACAATAGAAAAAAGATTAAAGCAAAAATAAAAAATAAAACTGATCCCAAGTAAAAGTTAATATAAAAGCTTTTCTGAATCCAGAATGGCAAGATAGCAGCGAGAATGCCAAACTTGCCGTGAACGGGTTATTAACGAATACTTGGACAAGTTGGAGGTTTAAGGTGTTATTTGTTTACCTGCAGGGAGACTAGAATGTTGGAAAGGGACTGGCCGTAGGTATCATGGAAATGGACCGCAAGCTTCTCCACAGGAACAACAGACATGACCGCATTCAGCATTGGAATAACGGAACCTGTAATGCAGCATTAACAAGACCACTAAGGCCAGTCTGATGAATAAAAAAGAAAGGCAAGGAAGATGTTGAAATACTGGGTGAACTACAAAATTTCATCAAGATATCAATCCGTGAATAATATGACATGAAAGAAGAGATCTTGATTTTTAGCTATCATTAGCAATCTAAATATTTGGTCTTAGTTTTCTAAAATCATCTTTTTTATTTGTTTTAGTTGAGACTATTCTTTGTAAATTAATTTAAACAACTTTTATCCATATAAATTTTGGTCTATCACATTTTCTTCCCAATTCTTCAACAATAAAATAAGGTTCAGCAAATTATATGCACTGTATCATAGTTGCCTCATCGCCTAACCTTATCTTGTATTACATAATATTTAATATAACACTGTCATTGTCTAACCTTATCTTGTATTACATAATATTTAATATTACACTGTCATTGTCAGGTCCCAAGTCCCGGATGCAAAAGTTGGAGGGTTGTGTTAGGTAGGTTGTCGTCAACCAACGTAAAAGTTATCAAAAAATAATGACATGAATCATTTTAATCTTTATGTAAATGTTAGGGCGTCCCCCAAAAGTGACGCACTGTATGAACTTAAATACAGTAAAAAGTATGCAAGGGCCGCTATACCGGCACTCAGGTATAGTGTTAAATAAGTAAAAGTTCTCACATTCTCGAAGGATGTGTGTAAATAAGTTAGTCAATCAAACTAATATTAGGATAAGATCTTGAAATATAGATATTCTTACAAGTAAATTAATGAAATTAGTTAAGATTATGGGCCATAGGAATATTAATATCTTATGCATTCAAGAAGTGAAATGAGTTGAGGCTAATAAGATTAATAGTTTAAGTTTTAAACTTTAGTATTCAGGTAGGAGTCGCACTAGAAATTGTATAGGTGTAATATAGATAAGAGTTTGAAAATAATAATGTAAAAATTAATAGAATTGGAGATAGAATTATAACCCTAAAGATCATTGTTGATACTAAGATTTTTAATGTTATAACTGTTTATACTCCTCAAAAAGGTTTAGATATCGAGGTTCTAAAAAAAAATCTAAAATGGCCTAGAAGAATTAATATAAATGATATATCTTGAAGAAAAAAAATTTATTGAAGGAGATTTAAATGGACATGTTGGAAAAGTGGTAGAAGATTTTAAAATTATTCATAGTGGCTATGGTTTTGGAATGATTAATGAAAATGGTAAAACTTTTAAATTTTGGTTTTGTGTATTATTTGGTCATTGCTAAAATATTTTTAAGAAAAGAGATTAACATGTTATTACTTATAAGAATGGATTCAATAAAACACAAATTGGTTATTTTCTTACGAGAAAAAGAGATCGTCGAGAGTGTAAAGATTGTAAGCTCATTCCAAGCACTAAACATCAATTATTAGTTTTGGATTTTAATATGAAGAATTGTAATATAAAAAATACAAAGAATCGTTGTCAGAGAGTTAGACGGAGACACCTAAAAGACATAAATAAAATTATTTTTATGAATAAACATCAAAATTTCAATATTTAGGATGTTCATGAAGAAGCTAATCTCTATGAGATAAAGTAACACACACTATTAAACAATTGACAAAAGATCTACTTGAATATTCAAAAGAAAAAGTTTTTATGAATAAAAATAGGTGGTGGTGGAATAATAATATGCAAGTATAGATAAAATTTAAGAAGAAAGTAAAAGCTTAAAAAATTGAAAAAATATAAGATAGCATGCATAGGGAGTCTAAGAGAACAATTTTGACACTAGAAAATCAATTTTTAGTGATATTTATAATAGGTTAGATGCTCAAGAGGGTGAAAAATATATATTTAAACTAATCAAACTAAGAGATAAGAAAAGTAAAAATTTAATCTAAGTAAAGTGCATTAAAGATGAAAATCAAAAAATATTTTCTTAGAGAAAGATATTAAACATAGGTAGGTAAGCTATTTTGATAAACTTTTCAACAAAGTTTATGTAAAATATGTTTGTCCTTAGTGATCTTAATATCACTAATAATAGTTAAAAGTTTTATTTTTACCACCAAATCAGTAAAATAAACAGTTGAGGAGGCTTTAAAGAAAGCCAAGGTGTAAAATTGGTAGGACCTGATGATATCCCAATTGAAGTGTGAAAATATTTAGGAGATTTGGAAGTTTCTTGGTTTACTAAACTCTTTAATGATATTTTGAAAACTAAAAAGATGTCTGAGGAGTGAAGGAAGAGTCTTTTGGTCCCCATTTTTAAAAATAAAGAGGATGCACAAGACTGTGCAAATTATAGAGGAATTAAGTTGGTGTGTCATACTTTAAAATTATGGGAGAGGGTTATTGAGCATAGGTTAAGGCATATTACCAAGATTTTTCATTCAGAAGAAAATATGACACTTAATAGGACACAATGAAGAAAAAGGATTCATGTAGCCAATCCCAATTAGTGGGATAAAGTCTTGTTGTTGTTGTTGTACTATATATTTAATATATGCTACTCGCCTCATTTCTCTAATGTGCTCATTTTTTATTTTATACTTAAAAAATTTTTTCACACATTCATTTTAATATTTTTATTTTTGTCATAGTGAACTTACAAAGCCCGGATGTAAGTGCTAGGGCGTCACCTAGAAGCTACTTCCCTCATTTCTCTAAGCTACTTTATTTTTATTTTAATATTCCTTTAACAATGTCATTGTCGGTCCCAAGCCCGGATTTGAAAATTTGAGAGTTGCACTAAGTAGTTGACTGCCAGCATATAACTTGTCAAAATAATTATGACATGAATCTTTTTTATCTTTGTGTAAGTGCTAGAGCGTCCCTTGGAAGTGACGCATTGTATGACCTGAATACAATGAAAAGTGTGCAAGGGCCGCTACACCGGTGCCCTGGTGTAGTGTCAAACAAGCAATGGTTTCCACATTACGGACTGATGAGAGTAAAAAAGCTAATCCATGAAACTAATGAAACTAATATTAGGATAAGATCTTAGAATATAGGTACTCGCAATAGTAAATTAATGAAATTAGTTGATATTATGATTCATAGAAACATTAATAACTTATGTATTCAAGAAACCAAATGGGTTGGGGAAAAGGTTAAGGAGATTGATAACTGTCGGCGTTTAAAAAGGGGGGGAGTTACG